CCAGTTATTCTGTAATAAATCCCAGACATCATATAGGTTTTTTAAAAAAATGTTTTTAGTTATAGATGTACACAATTACTTTCTTTTGTTTATTTATTTTTATGTGGTGCTGAAGATCAAACCCAGTGCCTCACATGTGCTAGGCAAGTGCTCTACCACTGAGCTACAACTCCAGCCCTTCATATAATTCTTTCTTTAAATACTTTGGTATATAGTTTTTTTAAAAAAGTAATTCTTGATTGAATTAGAAATGTCAGTAGAAAAATAATTTTTAAATACTTTTCTATTTTACAAAGATTTGATAACTTTGACTGTAGCAGTTACTATAAAACATGAAGCTGGTTTTGGTCACAACTAGTGTATATTTGCTCAAAAAGAGTGCAAGTTCACAAAACTTTCTGCGTGTGGGTCCCTGAGAGAACTTTAAGGAGTAGTTGGTAATGACTAGTGGAATGCATGGCAAGGTCACAGGTTTACTTTTTATTAAAGTGGTTTTTTTTTTTTTTTTTGGTACTAGGGATTGAACCCAAGGGCTTAACCACTGAGCAGTATCCCCAGCCCTTTTTTTATATTTTTGTTTAGAGACAGGGTCTTGCTAAGTTGCTTAAAGCCTTGCTAAGTTGCTGACGCTGGCTTTGAACCTGAGATCCTCCTGCCTCAGATTCCCAACCACTGTGATTACAGGTGTGCACCACCGCACCCACCTAAAGTTTTCTTTAAATGGCAAATGAGTAAGTAACTTGCTGCATATAACCTGTGGAAAAACATTGGTACACAGATCTTGCAAATAAGCAAATAGAAAGGAAAGGAGCTAATGGAGAGTGGGTGGTGGCTAATTGGGGAAATATTGAGAAAGAAGGATTCTTGGCACTAACTCTCATTAAAGGGACCTCAGGGTTCACCAAGATCAGGGTCAAGTGAAGAATTATGGCTATTGGGGCCTCCATATATTCTGGAAGGCAGGTTTTTTAGTAACTCAGGTGCACCAAGGTCAATTTTGACTGACACTGACCCCAATACCCACATTAACATGGGTTTGACTTGTAGATGAGCCCCCACCCCAATAAGATGGCCATCGTGACAGTTTCCGAGAGGAACAATTAGGGACAAAAACTCCACCACCAGCAATGAAGGAGGAGTTGAACACCTGCTTGGCAAAAAAAGTGCGGTTCTCAAGATAAACATCTAACAGTAATAAATTTAGAAGTGGCATTGTGTCCTTTGTCATTCTGTGCACAGAGACAACTCACTGTCTCTAGAGTGCTTGCTGCTTGAGCCTCACTTTTTTTGCACTTGTAATGAAGTTCTCTTGCATAGCTTTGGGTGTCTGAAGTTCCATCTTCTTTTGTGGGAACACAAGAACCAGGTTTGGAGCTTCAGCTGCCCACTCTCCCTGACAACGCCAGGGCTTCACATTTCAGGAAATGGTTGGCCTGCACTGCAGTGTACCAAGACCTTAGTACAAACCAGAGCCATCAGAAAGGGCATGGGAATCAAAAGTCAACATACTGTTAAAAAACGTAAGAGATGCAAGGAGATAAAGTTAGTCACATGAACTGTTTCTCATTAGTTTAAACATTTCATGAGATTAGTATCTTGATATAAAAAATAAGTTAATAACACAGAAGAGAGCTTTCTCATATAATAATCATTATGCTTTTCTATATGAACTTAAGTTTCCACAAAGTGCCTTTATTCCAGAATCCTATTAAAGAATCAAGAGATCAGATTTTAGGGTTTGGGGGTTGCCTCCCCTCATTAAAAGGGTGGTGGAGTGGAAGCACATCTCGGGTAGTGGTGGTTGCATCTGTCTCTAAGAAAATCAGTTGTTAGCAAAAACTCCCAAAAAACTATATGAAGTAAAATGTTCAGCAGAGTTGGGGTATGGTTGTGCATGCCTGTAATACAAGTGGCTCAGGAGGTTAAAGCAGGAGGATCGCAAATTCAAAGCAAGCCTCAGCAATTTAGCAAGCCTCTAAGCAATTGAGCAAATTCCTGTCTTTAAAAAAAAAAGGTGGGAGGCTATTGATGTAGCTCAGTAGTTAAGCTCCCCTGGGTTTAATCCCTGGTACCAAAACCAAACAAACTATATGAGGTAAAATTTTCAACATAAAATGCCAATATTTTGGCTGGGTGCTGTGGTGCAGTCCTGTAGTCCCAGCGGCGCTAGAGGCTGAGGCAGGAGGATCCTCTTGTATTGAACCACCTCTTTCAAAGCCCTCTGTTCCTCCTGACAGACTCACAGCTTCTGGGACAGGAGTAACCTGTTTCTCCTTTGCTAGCAGAGCATTAGAACTTCTTTTTCCTTTTTCTCAAAATATTGTCTTCATTATTAGGTTAGCATCAGGGACAAGGATTGAGCTTTTGGCATCACATTTGGTGACTCATTTGGGACCCAAGAACACCCCCTCACCCCACCCCCACCACTCTGGTCTTCTGCACCCATGCTGAAGATGCAGGGTGTCTGGTGAGCTTGTTGAGAGCCAACCACTGGAGACTTAGGAGACATGGTGAGTTTGCCTTGAGTTGACTCAAGGAGCTCTTCCTATAAGTAAGAGGGACTGAGGGACTGTCCCAGTAGCTGCTGAGGCTCCTTTTGCTTTGTGGAACCCCCTCCTTCTCTCCTGGAACAGTATGGGTTGCTCCACCAATTGGTCTATTTTGAGAAAAAGTAGAATTACAGAATGCAGTAAAGTTGCAACACCTTGGGCATCTGGTTAGCTTCTCCAGTGGGCCTGCAGAGACCCTTGATGCCACACATCTGGTCCCTTTTTGTGGGGACATCAGTGTCACCATTTGTGTAGGGGTCATGGTTAGGTAGGAGTAGGGAAACAGGCCTTTTTCCCTATCTGCTGTCTGTTTTAAAGGCTTTTGTCTGTCAGCCATGGTCGCTGCGCCCCTCCCCTGACTCAGGCAATGGCAAGGCCCTACTGAGGTGGATGGCGCAAGGCGTCCATCCTCTGGAGGAGCGCAGTATGTTTCTGGGAATGGGCTGGTTTGTTTTTGTATTCCTTTAATAAGTATAGTTGTGATTTCTCATATGACCATTAAATATGAAGGAAAAAACTTGACTTTCCCAATTAATGCAACTACTTCTAAAGAATAGATCTGTTTGCTCTAAATGCAATGATTCAGGTGTGGAGCGTAAATTGTTAATGTCTAATGAAAAACTCCCTGTATTCCTGTCAAGGAAGTTTTTGAGAAATTAAATTAAAATCTAGAGAAGAAGAATTAATGTTAAGAAGACAGATTAGCGCTTGGTACTAGGCAACTTGTTCTTGTTCCTGTGCACAATGGTTTGTGCTCTTACTCTTGTTTGATTAAACTTAATAACAAGTTAACCACTTGCTGTAATCATGGCACCGGTTCCAGTCAGTAAGTCAAGAAAGAATAGTCAAGGCCAAGAGTTTGGGACATTTCTAACTATTATTAAAAGTTAACTAAACAGAAACAGCTCAAAGCAAAACACGAACTGAAAGTAAAAATGCTTGCTTATGCATAAGCCAAGATACATTCTTCTATTCTAATTGTAGCTACATAATATTTTGTTTCTTTGAATAATGATTCCTGTTTTGTAACCACAAAGTACTGTGAGCCTGCCAAAATGAAAAATATATAAGATTAACTTCACAAGTAAAGATTGGGATTCAGACCTTCACTTTGGTGTCTGTGTTGTTTCTCCACCCCCACTTTCGCCGACTCCTCACCATCCATTCGTCTCCTGAGACCCCCTGTTGGAGCTGGACTCTGACACATGGTTTTGGGGCTCCCCTCTGCTCATCCCTTTCTGTGTTTTTGTTTGCATCTCTTATTGGCTCTTTAAGATGAGGGAAATGCTGTGTTGATCCTACTGATTGAGAGTCTCTTGAAAAAGGTCTTAGCTAAAAGAGCCACACACAGGTATGAACCTGTCTAAGTAAAATATGATGTTTGACTGTGACAAAATCTGGTCATTGAGTGGTATTCTGAATCCATGTCCAATCTTGCCATTGGAGCTGGTCTGTCCAAGTTAGGTAAATGAGAGAAACGCTATCTGTGCAGGGTGCTGTGCAGTTGTATGAGAACGAGTCTGAACAGTCAGGGCTGGGGATGTGGCTCAAGAGGTAGCGTGCTCGCCTGGCAAGCGTGCGGCCCAGGTTCGATCCTCAGCACCACATACGAACAAAGATGTTGTGTCCGCCGGAAAAAAAAAAAATTCTCTCTCTCTCTCTAAAAAAAAAAAAAAAGAGAGAGAGTCTGAACAGTCAGAAACTAAGTTAACTAAGTTGATGGTCCAAAAAAAGGCACTGCCTCTGATTTGCAAGGAGAGCAGGACACCAGAAGTTTAGAAAGATGTAAATCTTTTCAGCCCCATGCAGGCAGGCCTGGGCCTGCCCCAGGCAGCCCCAGCTCACTCCACCCCTGAACTATGGGTAAAACCCCAAGAAAGCTGCCTGGGGTGTAGAGAAATGGGCAAAGAGGACTTGGCCTCCGTCCTGCCTCCCAGCCCCTTGGGTCATGGGACAAGGGGATTGGCTGGCCAAAAAGGACATGGCAGTGGGTGTTGAGACTGCTAGACCATGACCTGGGGACAGGAATGGGTCTCCCCTTTTAAGATCTGACAGGACATCTGTCAGATGGTGGCCAGGGGACACCCATCACTGGGAGATGGGCCATGACCAATGGACTATTTGTCAAAACAGCTTGACTCTACAGCAGAAAGATGTCCCCAGCCCACCCCACCTTTGGGCAGTAACTGTCACTTGTGATTTACCACAAGAGGTTGAGAAATTCCCTTGAGGACAACCCATTAATATGTTTGATCTCACCAAGTCTTGGTCCTACTTGAACAGGGAAGTTGCTACTGGCTGACTGCTGGGAGGAGGGGAGATACCAGGCAACCCCAAGATCAACCTTAAAGTGGTGTCCACCTCAAATCCAGCAACATTGTTTCCATTAGATGATAATGAGACCCTACAACCTAACTGCCTGAAATCTTAGAGAGTGTCTATTGTATCGGGTTAGACTTGTCTGATGAGCCCATCACAGAGCTGAACTGGGACTTCTTCATGGATGGGAGTAGCTTCATGGGAAATGGAGCTGCAGATAGCTGGATGTGCTGTGGTCACAGAACAACAGGTATTAGGAGCTGAGGCTTTGCCACCTGGAACATCAGCACGGAAAGCTGAGCTAATTATCCTGACAAGCACTCTCAGACTGTCCAAAGGAAAGAAGTGACCCAGCAAGTGAGCTGGTGGATTGGATGGGCAACAGAAGGTATGCACAGCCTGGGATCCCAAACTAGAGGGAAAACAAAAAAGATAAATCACACCTTAAGAAAACACAGTGGTTGCCAGGCATGGTGGTACGTGCCTATAATCCCAGAAGCTCAGAAGGCTAGCACAGGAGGGTTGTGAGTTCAAAGCCAGCCTCAACAAGTGTGAGGTGCTAAGCAACTCAATGAGACCCTGTCTCTAAATAAAACACAAAATAGGACTTGGGATGTGGCTAAGTGGTTGAGTACCCCTCGGTTCAATCTCCAGTAGTAAAAAAAAAAAAAAAAAAAAAGACAGTGGTTAAACTATGCTAAGAAACTCACTTGCAATAGGTTAGGGTGTTGCCAATTGCTCACTTCAATAAGGAAATTCCCAGAAGCATGCTTAAATTGAGCCCAGGAAGAAACTGTATAGTAGAGACCCTTCCTGGTAACCTGGGGAAGGAGAGGGACAAAATGTGGCTATAGCAAAAGAAACTAGGTTAATATAGTATGTAGGACAACCAGGACAATCAGTCAAATATTAATTGCTATATGTGAGTGTGCTTCTTCCAGATCCCCACCAAGATTGAAATCACATCTGCATCTCTTCTAATAAAAGTCCTAAAGAAGTTGTGCATGGTGTACTCCCAGTGACTAAGGAGGTTGAAGCAAAGGATTGCAAGTTCCCAAAGCCAGTCTCAGCAACTTAGTGAGGCACTTAGCAATTCAGCAAAACTCTGGGTCTAATAAAATATTTTAAAAGGTCTGGGATGTGGCTCAGTGGTTAAGCACCCCTGGGTTCAATCCTCAGTGTGTGTATGTATGTGTGTGTGTGTATGTGTATATATGTGTGTGTATGTGTGTGTGTGTGTGTGTGTGTGTATATATATATATACCCAAAAAAATGACAAGAGGAGATAATAATGTACCATTCCAGGACCCCCTTCATTGCCCAGTTTCAGAAGGAAGCAGCTTGGAGATGACATTGTCCATAGACATTGACAGTGAGGAAATA